AATTATTCCATTTCAATGAAACTTAGTACAAAGATGCTCTAGGACAATGTACAAACCTAATTAGTTTGGGGTAAAAATCTGTTCATATTAATTCCCTAATAAGCATAATAATTCATAATTTTTTGGTTCTAATCACATTTCAATTAAACTTGGAGACATAGATTTTCTGTTACATTGCGCAGACCTCATTAGTTTTACACTCAAATCTGGTCATATTAATTTTCTGATTTGCATAATTAGTTTTCAGCTAAGTAATTTCGAATTATATTTAATGTGTCTCCAATACTCTCAGCACATGGGAGTTCTTTCTAAGCTTTCTTTGATTATATTTGGGGTCACATTCGGCAAAGCGCCCACCCCTTCAAAATGCAACTAATTTAAAACTTGGTCTTGTGTAACGAATCTTGGTAATTGTTTTTATATGATACAGCGTGGATATCGACCGCTGTGAACATGTTGTGAATGCATAGAACATGGTAACCGTGCGTAAACTACGCTTCGACAATGACCTGTTAATACAAGTAAAATGCGGTAAATATTTCATGCCATATTCAGTTTACCTCTCAAAAATGGCTAGTTACTAGTTTTTTGGAAAAATCATGTCGTTTATTCGCTGAAATCAATTCCAACAGATTGTACTTCGACATCACTTCCGCATTGCGTTACCGGAAAATCTTCGGTAATTTCCGAAGAATTGCGTCAGTACAACACAGCATTCTGATTGGTAAATAACCAACTTGACCCATTAGGTCAAAGGATGCTGCTGCAGGTCAAATGCAAATGCATCATGGCGGAAAGTGATTTTCATCGAGAGTTTGCATTCGATCCAACACCTTCGTCAGTGGAGATAATATGACAATTTTGACTTCGACTGTGTTCCAACAGACTCAAATGTTTTTAATTTCATAAATTCTGGTGGTACGTAATTAATATTGTAATAAAATGTGCATATTTTTTGTGATCATTTGAATTTTCTGTTCCTTCATTGTGAAAATCAATGACGACTCAACTAATTTCGTAATTTGATTTCCCTCAAAGACGTAATCTGTCACTTGATGAATAAAATTTTTCATTTGCACTCTTTTTCGAGGGGGTGCTCGGGTAAACGCCCACCCCTAAAAAATCGTGATTTTCTGAGTTGAGTCCCCTGGGCGCTAACGCGGTCGAGTACGGTATGTCACATCGTAACGTCGGAAGTGTTATTTCTTCGTTCATTTACTGTAAATGTAAACGTTGTAGAAGCTGATGGTCGGAATAATAACCAGCAATCCGCCAAATAATTACGTGGTCATGAAAGTCTTGAACATAATCCTGGCTGGAACGTTTCAGTTGAGTTTCATTTAACCTTTTACAATTTATTTGTCTGCAGCATTTGCATATCGAGAATGTTTCATTTTTAAATTCAAACTCTTCTAAGTTGTGAAACGTAATTTTTTGACTCAAAAAAAAAATATTTGCACTGTGACGGAGCTCATTAATATTACAAAAATGCCCAAAATAAAAGTGTTTATAACACTGTGTAAAGCAAATAAATATCTGCCACTTTGTTTTTGAAAATATATGTTGTTTATTGTGTGGGTGTAAATGTACTTTGGTCAATTTCTATTATTATGTAAATGATATGAAAATTAGGCCGCCACAGTGGTTTTAATTCCTGGGGAGAACACTGGACATACATTTCTAAAATTTCTAGTACCACAAGTGATACTGTGCAAGAACTAGTTTTAGTGTTTGTCTTTGACAGTTTTTGACAGTGTTCTTATTTATTCAGAAAACATATGTAACATGTTTAGCATTTTAATTCTTGTTAACCTCCATTTATGCAATATCACCTTTCCAATCATGTTCTTTGATGCAGTTGATTATTATATTGTATGTTTGATTAACACGCATATGGAGCTCCAAAGATCATGGGATTGCATTGCATATCACGGTGCATTGGTATTGAACTTGTTTAACAGTACTCCCATCTTACACATCTTTGTTTAAATAAATGAAATTTTTTATTTATCTTGTGAGCTTATTGAGAAGTGCTTCTAATATACGGTAGCCCTGGATCCATGGCTCTGTGGGAATGGGTGATATCATTCAGTCATCAACCACCTATTCAAACATAGCCATCGATCCTGCTATAGCAAAATGAGGTGGAGGCATAAAAGAGAAAGCCCATACAACAGTGACAACCTAATTTTAATTCCCCTTACACAAAAATTGTTCAAATGGGATCAATTTTACATTGTTTGGTCTAAATTTATAGTGCACAACAATCAACTGTTTACTATTCACTGTGAGTCCTTTCGTTCTGCATGAAATTGCACATAAAAACAGTCAAACCATTGCTGCGATTCACTAAAAACAAACAAATTTTTTGGTTAGTTGATTAACAATGTGCTATACAATTTTGATGAAGTAAGTGTATCTCAATGAATGCTATATTCCCCTTTGAAAAAAAAACATATCTACTTTAAACTTTAAAATAAGAAATTCGAAATCAAATTATTCAATTTGTGATATTCGACCCACATCTTTCGTGCATTATGTACGATCTGCAAGTTTACAAGTGTTTGTAAATACCTGGTATCACCCACTCTGTGACAACACATGGTTCTAGGGACAGTACTGCAATGGTATTTAGCACTTTGGATCTGAATTAATTATTGTTTCTTGTTCAGAATTCTCTCTAGAAAAGCTTACCACCATGACCAATTAACATAATAAAGCAATATGCTAATCACTTCACTTGTGTTAATTATTATGATAGTTGAGTTCTGTTGTTTATCCAAATTACAGAATAGTGGGATCCTATTGTACATGTATGATGCTCCCAGGAGATCCTGTCATTGTGAACAGACTATTACTCTACTGAATTGATTGCAGGTGGTACATGAACTAATCAAAGCCTGCACAGACTTGCCTTGCTCATTATTTTAAACATTTTCATTGTTTACAGATATGACCTGCAATTAATGGAGAAAATCAATGAGCTGTCCGCTGGTATAACAATCAAACGCCAAAACACACAAAAATAACTCAGACAGATTTGACTGCATCCGGGTATAGTTCTTAATAATTCATTTTTTCCTGTGTTTTTAAAGATACTCTTCCGTATTGATGGAAAAGGTGAAGTTTTTGGCTGCTGGTATAATAGTTGGACAACCCATTGCAAGCAAGTTATCTGAAAAGCATTGCAGCAGGAAAAGAACAGAGAGTTCATTTGACAGTGACCCACCAGCAAAGTCAGCAAGAATTGAAGAAGATTGCCACCCAATAAATGAATCACAATCACCGACTGTTGAAGTAAATACTTCCTTATCCAGTCAATCAAATACGCATCAAAAGAAGAAAAAACAGCCATTTCCTTCACAGAGTCCTCCAGGTGATAATGCTACAAAGTTAGGGAAAATGTTCCAAGAGATATCAACAAGAGTTAGGTCACTTTGGGATAAAGATACTGCAAACTCGATTGGACTTTTGAATAATATTTTGATGGTATTCCCCGTCAAACTCAGTTATAGTTTTGTGGATAGAAGTCAAGTTTTGCCAACTCCCAAAGGAGGTAAAAAGTGTATAACGCAATGGGAATGCAGCCTCTGCATTGGCGATGTGTACATTACTCAAGCAAAGTGTGGCTCAAAAAATGAAGCCAAGAAACAGTGCTGTGATACAGCAGCTAAGTTATTGAAAGACGGACATTTCAATGTATCAAAAGTGCCAAGAACAATAGAAGAGCAGAAAACGGTGAGACTGGAGTTGGTGGCCGTGGCAGGTGATAGTACAAGCACAGGTGCAAAACCTACACACCCATTAGCCAAACTTGTCATCATGGAACATCCCAAAGAACTCAATCCCATCTGCACCATAATGAACTCGTGTCAGTTTTCCAAACTAGCTGTTTCGTTTGATTTCAAAGATCTAACGGCAGACGTTGACCTAAAGGGCAATATCAAACCAAAACATGTCTGTAAAACTGTGATCAATGATCAAGTGGTTGGGGTAGCTATTCATGAATCCAAAAAAGATGCTAAAAGTTTATCAGCAGAGAAAGCTTTGAGCAGACTCCGAAAAATATGTCCGGTTATTAAAGTGAACAAGGAAATTGAAGGAGCTCTGTCTAAACACTCGCTGATTGGTACTAAAACTAGCCTTAATGAAGAGTTACCAGATTCCAACATTGGCAGTAAAATGATGAAGAAAATGGGATGGAGTGGTGGAGGTCTTGGCAAAATTGGCAACATCGGACGAGAAAAACCGGTTGAAATCAATGAAAGATTTGGAAGAGAGGGGTTGGGAGTTGGACGACCAGCTGGCAAGGATGAAATAGACATGAAAACTGCACAGGAAATTATTAAGAACTATACCCTTTCACATGACAGAGATGATCTCGTCTTTTCGCCAGAACTTAATAATGAAGAGAGAAAGCTGCTTCATCAGGCAGCAAATAAATTTGGTCTGAAAAGTGTGTCATATGGAAGTGGAACTAATAGACATCTAGTAGTGAAAAAAATGAGAAGTGCAGATGATGTTATGCAACATTTAGTTCAAAGTGGGGGCACGTCATCACGATATGAGCTCGTTTTACAGGTCAAGGGCCGAATGCAGCTCCTCCAAAGCACCAACATTCAGCAGTACATATACCATCACAGTTTGGCGGGTCTTCAGGATCATGTGAACTCACAATGCTTTGAAATATTACTACATGTATAAACAAAAATACAACATGGAATGTCAATCTCGTAGTCGTGTACTTACCCAGTCGGAGAAATTGTATGTCATAATTTTGATTTATTGCTCTTGCACATATACTGTGAAATTTTTTGCTGCTAGGAAGTTTTATGGCATTTGTATGGACTAAAATTAAAGTCACCGACACTTAATTAATATTGTGCCACCCTTTTCACTGATTTGTTACATCTGGTATACAATTAATAAAACATGTTATGCTAATTATATGCAAATTTGTACACATATTTTTGGCGTGTCATTTTCACAGATAAATGAAAATCAGTAAAAATAAATAATCTGGTGGAAATATTTTTTTGTGTACCGGTATATACCTAATTTACGACATCGGTAAATGTTGCCCAGAAATTATGGTTTTCAGTGAAAACTAAATTTGATGAAAATAAATGAATTCCCTTGTTAATAGCAATAACTATTAAATCCACTGTGTGCGCACATTGAAGCATACTGCAAACCAATAAATTTTTGCCCTCATAATTATTTGCATAGACAAATTCACTCGGAAATGTTCGCAGCTACACTATTTCCCTTACGTTCCTGACTCGCAAAACTCTGCGTTTCAGATATGTTTAAGAGTTAACAAAATCATTATCTAAATGATCTAAGGCCAGACTTTTATTATCCCTTGTTTCGCGAACCCGCCGAATGAACAGGAGCCTTAAATGAAATAAAAATAAAATTTTATTTCAGCGTAATTTCTCGCGCCTGCCGACTTGTAAGTGCAAAAAATTGCTAAAAAAAACTTATTTTTATATTCATTTTTTTTCCACCCGTCGCATAACAAACCCAAGTTGCATTTTCGTGGGAGTATCATGATCAAAGTACCGAAGTCTCGCGCAGATGAGAAACAAGGTTATACATGGAATAAAATTTTATTTCATTTCTTCTCTCCGATCAATGATCTCACTTACAATTCTTTGAGAATCTCACAAATCTAATGGAAAAAAAGAATTTTATTTTTTTTCCACCCTCCTCAAAAAAATTGCCTTATAAAAACTCGAGAAACAAGGAATAAAAAAAGTCTGGCCTAAGATGCAAATAAATGCCGAGATCTCATTTAGAGAGAGAGAGAGCCACGAGACATTCTTTCTTGTCAGTGCGTCTAATGTTCCTGACCTCTGTAACCATGGTATTAAAAATAGTAGACGCAATGATGAAAGAGAATCTGATGAAATCGCATTGATCTGCTTTAGTGAGTGTGTATTTGTACATATTATTTACTGTGCTGTATACAAAATGTTTCTTATCTGTGAAGTCTAGCTGTTTGGTACATTGTACTCTCATCTGGTCAAGTCTATGATAAAGTACATAGAGCCTGGCAGCATAAGGGTTAAGCCTGAAGGACCGATTCAGGGACTATTATACAATAGTATGTTTTGTGATGCAGAGGAATACGCCAGTTTGTCTACCACTTGCATTTTAAGTTCAAGCCAGTTTACTCTGTTTAACGGTTTATAATATTCTGTGCTGATTTCAGCATCTCGTTTATTAATGTCCATTTGTTTCCCCTAGATGACATTTACTGTTTTTATCATGAAGAAATATTGGCTCTAGCAACTAATTGTGGTGTAAGTTGTGTACCATATTTTCTGGTGTATGGGTTGCGGCAGTGAGTTAAGTTAACTCAGAAAGAGAATTGGCATATTTTTTTACATTTACAATGTAGCACCCATCGTCCGAATCGCATGGGGCCGACTCCATCAACCCGTGCGTAATCAGCCTAGGTAAACGCTTATTTTATGTTAAACAAATGGCCAAGCTTGATTGGATGCGCTTGTTGGAAAGGCGCCTAATCAGATGCTGTGTAACATTGCACGGTAAGCTAAAGAACAAAATGTCGGAAATCTGTTTTGCTTTGGTCACCATTTAAAAAAAATGCTCTACTGTATTTTGATACAAGATAGCTGATTGGCTGTTTACTTTTGTCGCATCTCCCCATCCTTGTCGTTAAGGGCGCCTATTAAATACACACTGGGGTGGTTCAATCTGCCGAGGGTTAATTTTGAGGGGGGTGACGCGAAACAAACGTTTCTTGGCTGGCGAAGATGTGTAGCACCTAATGTCAGTTACATAACTGCATTATATATTTTGAATAAACACTGAAAACTTCTCCTTTTAGTGGCTGTGAATTGCAATGCTAAACTTTTGCTTCACCAGTTCTCAGAATGACGAGACAACTGACTGCTGAATATCATCATTTTCTCATGGTGTGTGTGTGAAGCAAAATAATTGGGACCAAATTCCTCAGTAAGTAACCCAGTATTATAAATTCTCACAAACAATGTGGTGGAAACCAGGGATACAAACTGTTAAAGATCCTTAAAAGTTAGTGGACCAACTTGCATTGTTAAAATCTAGTATATATCAAGAGATGAATAGTGTTGTTGTGTTGTGTTTTTTTAATGGTGTTGAAATCTTTACGCCCAGTAAATTATATATGATAGGTAAGCATGTAAAGTTGTTTTAAAATTTATTAAAGGGCGGTGGTCGTCGCGCTGCGCATGTGCGACGTTTGTGTTGATAAACATTAATTTTCCCACAATCCAGTGCGCTCTTCTAATGAAATCACAAGTATGAGGCTTGATCTGGGTGCGACTTGCACTAATTACCGCCGGTGACTCCTTCGATACATTCCAGTCACCTAAAAATACCCCATTATAGCTTGGTAACGTCTCAGTTTGTACACGTTGATCTCCGCAACAGTCAAGTGCCATCTTTGTTTATATGAGACCCATATATCTCGCGCATGTGTGGCGCGACGACTACCGCCCTTCAACTATCTAAAATATATGAGAATGTTCCATTTATGATCTACTGCTCAAAAAAAGTAGGTGGACAACTGGGCGACGAAGTTACAAAACTTTGCGTCTCGGTAGAAAACTTGGACTTAGGTGAATACTGGTGTAACCCAAGATAGGTCTGTTTCATAAAAAAGTTTGAAATTTCACATTCGGGATAAAGTACATCATCAGCATTGAACACATGCCAGATTATTGATGTCACATTTGTACTTTTCTTTATATTGATTCTGCATCCAAGGTAATACAGCAAGACAGAAATAGAATCCCCTCAGAATGTAAATATTCGCAAAGAAATATTCTTCATCGGTATGTTAGACTGATAGTGCATATTATTTCATGAACGAAAAGATGTATACTAATAAGAACATAACAAGAATACAGTGAAGTATACCTTATGCAGTATGGCAATATTTGACCTCGGCTACATGTCGTACTACCCTTGTAGTTTCTCCATGATGGGTTAATTATATACCAATTCCAGTTTTCAGTTTGTCTTCACCTGTTATTGCATTTTCAAAGATTGTATATGCGAGCCTCTGCAATGCACTAAGATGACCAACTCATTGATTTTCCCAAATCCAATGTGTTCTTCTAAAGTAAATCACAAGTGCGAATTTTGACGTGGGTGAGGCATCAATCTGATTAAAATCTGATGTAGTGTACAGGCTTTAATTATTTTGGCTATAAACTTATTTTAATTTTATTATATTTGTTATTAATGCCCTTTTATTTTATTATTTTACTTTGATTTTGATTTTGTGATTTTTTTAATTCCGCCCTACCTACATCTGATCCGATGCCTATGTAACGAGATTTCAACGAGACCCACTATCGACGATTTTAGTCAACGAATCACAGACCTCCTTCTATAGCGCACGTGATGACGTCACCGGGCAGAGTCAGGTAGCAAACAGACTCAAATAAAATGGCGGATTATACCGACCGAGAATAACACGGCTTTTCGGTAAGTTTATCATTGTCAAATGCAACGAAAGTCATTTTTATGTTAATATTGTGGCTTGAATAGTTCGACTTTAGATCGTTATTTTGCATAGTTATTCTGGGAGTGACGATTTTGTTTCCACCGGTTCGACCGAACACCAGTGTCTTTTTCCAGTCGCCTGCCCTGGAGATGGGTGATGTTTTGTTGACGATCGGGCCAACATCGTCTACGGTATTGAAGCCGTAGCTGTAAATATTCATCAAATTGTATCAACATTTTGTACATTATACAATAACTCTTTATTAAAGTAATTGAGCTGATTTGGACTGGAATAAAATATTTTTTATTGGAACACATCGCAATTGATCAGGAAATATTTTTTTGCTCCAACTGTCTGCATCGATGCCGTGGGCCGGTGACCGTTATACAATTTAAAATCAGTTTGCATTGTTTTCTATAGCTGTTTACAGTGTTCTAATCATTACGATTTACTTATTTTTTTGCTTCCATTCTAGATAATTATGCTCAGTGATGTAAAATTGAAGCAATGACTGAATGAACGAACCTTGGCTGGCGAAGATGTATCTGGAAGTGTACACATTTGTTGGAAGTGAAAAAAATATTCAATGTAATGACAAAAATTGTAAAATGCTGTGGAATTTCTTTTGCAAATAAAAATATACTAGCAATTTTCTATTAATGGTTTATTCAAATGGGCAAAATATAATGTATAGAAAGATTGCCCTTATACACTGAAAAGTAAGCAACCGACAGCCTGTATAAAAGGGGGGCTGTGATTGGCTGTTACTTACGCGAGATTTGAACGGGACTTACATAGGTAGATCAGATGTAGGTAGGGCGGAATTTAAAAAAATCACAAAATCAAAATCAAAGTAAAATAATAAAATAAAAAGGCATTAAAAACAAATATAATAAAATATAAAATTAAAATAAGTTTAAAGCCAAAATAATTAAAGCCCGTACACTACATCAGATTTTAATCAGATTGGATGAATTTATGAATGTAAAAAAAATATAAAATTCTAACCATATTTTCTATTATCCGGTTATATTAATAGTTTGTGCCATGAAGTCATGAATGGTTACTGTAAAACTGTAACTGTACAAAGCACAAACCGCTAGCAGCAATCATTGTCTACTGACAAATTATGAAAAAACAATGTGAGGTTCTGTTATCCATGGAGGTGAAAACGAATATCACAGCCAAAATAATCGTCTTAAACTTCTTTTGTTTTAGTCAAGTTTAATCCTATATTCGCTTTGTTTTAAACATCCTTTCACCCCAGACTGC